CGCGGCTCACTTGGCTAATCCTCTGCCTGTGGCACCTGCAAAGCGGGTTCTAGTCCCGGTTGCTCCTCTTCCAGTCCAGCTCTCTGCTGTGGCCCGGGAAGGCAGTGGAGGATGGCCCAAGTGCTTGGGCCCTGCACCTGCATGGGGACCAGGAGGAGGCACCTGGCTCCTGGCTTCAGATCCGCACAGCAAGCCAGCATGGCGGCCATTTCGGGGGTGAACCAACGGAAAAAGGAAGACCTTTCTCTCTGTCTCTCTCTCACTAACTCTGCCTGCCTATAAATAAATAAATAAATAAATAAATAAAATCAGAGACAGAAAGCACAGTGGAGGCGGCCAGGGCTCAGGGGAAGGGAAACAAGGTGGTACGGTTTGAATGCATGCTGGAAAGTAATAAAACCCAGTGTGAGAGTGTTAAGAGGCGAGGCCTTTGGGGAAGTAGTTAAATCACAGGGGCTCCACTTTGGGAGCGGATTAGTGTTCTTATAGAAGAGGCTGGGCCGGCACCGTGGCTCACTAGGCTAATCCTCCGCCTTCCAGCGCCGGCACACCGGGTTCTAGTCCCAGTCGGGGTGCCGGATTCTGTCCTGGTTGCCCTTCTTCCAGGCCAGCTCTCTGATGTGGCCTGGGAGTGCAGTGGAGGATGGCCCAAGTGCTTGGGCCCTGCACCCCATGGGAGACCAGGATAAGTACCTGGCTCCTGCCTTCGGATCAGCTCAGTGCGGCGGCTGCAGCGCGCCAGCCGCGGCGGCCATTGGAGGGTGAACCAATGGCAAAGGAAGACCTTTCTCTCTGTCTCTCTCTCACTGTCCACTCTGCCTGTCAATAATAATAATAATAATAATAATAATAATAATAAGAGGCTGAAAGTAGCACCCAGTTTTGCCTGTCCATTTCTTCTGCCGCGTGAGGACATAGGCGTTCTGCCCTGCAGGGGACTCAGCCAACAAGGTGCCATCTTGGAAGCAGAGAGCATGCTTTCAGCAAACACTAAATCTGTTGGCGCCTGATCTAGGACTTGGCAGGCTCCAAAACCCTGAGAAACAAATTTTTATTCCTTATAAATTACCCAGTCTCGGGCATTTTGCTATGCAAGCCATGGAAAGTTCTTGTTTCATGAGTATAGAATTTTAATTTGAGGAGATAGAAAGTTTTCCAGAGTTACAGGGTAGTCACAGTAATGTGAATACAGGGAACTCTACTGAAATCTGCTCTCAGAAGTGGTCAATAGGGAGCAGAGGTTCAGCCTAGCAGTTAAGATGCCATGTCCCACTTGGAATGCCTGGGCTCACTTCCTGGCTCTGGCTCCTGACTCCAGTTTCCTGCCAGTGCAGACCCTGGGAAGCAGCAGTGATGGTTCAAATCAGTGGGTTCCTGCCACCCACATGGGAGACCTGGATTGAGCTCCTGGCTTCTGGCTCCTGGCTCCAGTCCCAGTTCAGCCCTGGGCATCGCAGGCATTTGGGAAGCAAACCAGCAGATGGGAGCACTCTCTCTCTCTCCTTCTCTCTCTTCCTCTCTCTGTTTCTCTGCCTTTCAAATAAAGGTTTTTTTTTTTTTAAATGGGTAAGATAATACATTTTATATTATATACCTCTTACTATAATTTTTATAAATATTCTTTATCTTGATGACAGAGTATATATATATATATTTTTTTTTTGCATTGTTGCACAGCATGGGCTAATGGTAAGTTTGTCCTCTGAAAGCTAGAATCCAGAAAGTCAGTAACAGCAGGGAATTTCTTTCAGATTTCCAGGTGAGTCGTTTGAGAAATGCTTCTCCAGCCACTCACTCCATAGCTTCTACTTTATATACAACAGGAGGCAAAATCACCCCCTGAGGAGAACCCCCACCCAAACTGCAGACTGACCTGAGGGAGCTGACACTGATAAAGCTGACAAGACAATGGGGAGAAGGAGTGGATCGGGGAGGGTCAGAGAGCTGCCTCTGAGGCCCAGGTGAGGTGGGAAACCACAGGAGTCCGTCAAAGATTTCGGGACAGTTTCTGAGTGGGAAGGGAAGGAAGGCTTTGAACGCTGGCGTTTCTAGGACATCGTGATGGATGGAGGAGAGGAGATTGCATATGCGGTATTGGAGACTCTCCTCTCGAATTCAAATCATGTGATCACTGTAATGGCTTTAGAACGGCAACTCCTGCGGAGCGTTTCATTCTAAGAAAAATGTTTTTATCTGTAATGTAATTTGTATGCTTCACAGGGTGGGGAAGATGGTAGCTGCTGGAAGTGTTAAGTTCTGCAGCCAGATCCGGTTTCCTTTATGACTCAATCGCCGAGTGCTGTAATTTTGAAGTGTTCTCCGGAATTCATGTGTTGGAAACTGAGTCCCTGGTGCATCAGTGTTGGGAACTGAGGCCTAGTAAGAAGTGGTTAGATCACGAGGCCCTGGCCTCAGGAATGCCTGTATCACAGGAGTGGATTTGTTTGATTTGCTACAAAAGTGAGTTTGGCCCTTTCTTGCTCCCTCTTTTCCACCCTCTCTTGCCTTCTGCCATGAGATAACACGGGTTGAAGGCCCCTGCCAGATTCCGGCACCAGGCTCTTAGACTTGTCAGCTTCCAGAGCTGTGAGCCAAATGAATCTCCGTTCCTTATAAATCATACAGTCTCAGGTATTCTGGGATAGGCGCAGAAAATGGAGTAAAACACCATGGAATAAATAGAACAAAATTAAACCTCATTTACAGTGATGGCATGCCAGGGGGAACTGGTGACATCTCACATTCTTTACCTGATTGAATCATTACCCACTAGGCTTAATCCTTTTTTTTTTTTTTTAAGATTTATTTATTTATTTGAAAGACAGAGTTACAGAGAGAGAGAGTGAGGGGTCTTCCATCCACTGGTTCACTCTCCAGGTGGCCACAATGGGTGGAGCTGCACCGATCCAAAGCCAGGAGCCAGGAGATTCTTCTGGGTCTCCCACAAGGGTGCAGGGGCCCAAGGACTGGGGCCATCTTCTACTGCTTTCCCAGGCCATAGCACAGAGCTGAATCAGAAGTGGAGTAGCCTGGACTTGAACCAGCGTCCGTATGGGATGCCGGCACTGAAGATGGCAGCTTTACCAGCTCCACCACAGCGCCAGCCCCTAGGCTTAATCTTATAACTTTCTTTCAATTTCAATAAGCATGGCAAACTTTTTTTTTTTTTTTGACAGGCAGAGTGGACAGTGAGAGAGAGAGACAGAGAGAAAGGTCTTCCTTTTGCCGTTGGTTCACCCTCCAATGGCCGCCACGGCCAGCACGCTGCGGCCGGCGCACCGCGCTGATCCGAAAGCAGGAGCCAGGTACTTATCCTGGTCTCCCATGGGGTGCAGGGCCCAAGCACTTGGGCCATCCTCCACTGCACTCCCTGGCCACAGCAGAGGGCTGGCCTGGAAGAGGGGCAACCGGGACAGAATCTGGCGCCCCGACTGGGACTAGAACCCGGCGCCCCGACTGGGACTAGAACCCGGTGTTCCGGCGCCGCAAGGCGGAGGATTAGCCTAGTGAGCCGCGGCGCCGGCCCGCAAACATCTTGAATTGATTTTTTTCTTAGATGAACACAAATCTTGCTTATCAATTGGCACTTTCTCAAATCCCCTCGAGATAGATGTCAGTTACCTAAAGAAGTGCCCGTTATCTGCACAGGACCCTCTCCCATGCTGTCCTCCGGGACAATATGACCCTGAATCTATAAAGCAGGTGTCACGAATAGGCTTCAGAACCCAAACGCTTGTCTTTATCTCCATCGGACAAGCTGGCCTGGTAGTGCGACTGCCTCCTTTCAGTCCCAGTGCGCTTCTCCTGGGAGCCTCCGCAACCTCACTGTGTATGCAGAGGGATCTTTCAAGCTGCTACGTGCTGTAGCTTCTCTACCCTCAAAGAGTCATCCCTGCCTTACTATGACGCTGGAGCTCTAAGAACAAGAAATAAGCAGGTGTGTGGAGGTGGGGAGGGCTTTCTCAGAGTCCTAACCGTCCGCCGGGCCACAGCACCTAACCATCAGACAGTAGCTTGCTTCCTTCCTTTTTGCGCTGGTATTTATTCATTGTCTTCGGCAAACTCATCAGCTCCAAACAAACTCCCATCTCTCGGCTTTCTGAGTAAACTCCTGAGTCAGAGCCCTACCTCTCGCGGACTTTGTGACCTCATTCTCTGTGCCTGGATAAAAAGGGGAAGTTCAGCCAGCTCCCCTAAAGGTTCCTGTGCAGCCAGCCTTGGCCCTCACAAGGAGGAAGGTCAGTCGACAAGTACCACTTTCATCACAGGAAGCACAGCAGAGAAGCCCCCACCCCCGCCCCAAGAATTGCTGGCATCCTCGCGGCAGCCTCCCAGCCAACCCCCCAGCTAACCCAGGCAGCAGAGCTCATCTGCACTGCCCAGAACGAACTCTGGTATTGCCACGCCTCGGGCCACATCTCCAAAAGATTCCCAAGTCAGTAAACTCACATCACTTAGACCATTTCCCTGGGCAATAAACTCAACGCTTGGTGACTAAGCTGACAAAGTCACCATTAACCTCCATTAATTCTGCCCTTGTACTACACTGATAATGAAGAGACGGGTAATCCCTACCTAGTACTTTGTGTCTTTTAAAAAAAATTTTTTTAAGTTGTTTGAGACGCAATGAATGTGGGGCGGGGTGGGTAGAGGGTAGGGAGGCCTGGGCAGGGGAGAGTGCTCCCATGCTCTGGTTCTCTCCTCAACTGCCCACAGTGACTGGGAAGCTGGGAGCCTGGGACTCATCCCAGGTCTCTCACATGGGTGATAGGGACCCAGGTACTTGGGCCATCACCTGCTACCTCCCAGGGTCTACATTAACAGGAAGCTGGAATCAGGAGCAGAGTCGGGACTGAACCCAGGCACTCCAATATGGAATGTGAGTGCCCCAACGGTGTCTGAACTGCTACGCCAAACGCCCACCCCAACACTTCATTCTAATGACACAAGCATCACGGTTGTTAAGGATATACACACTGCCTCTTTTGGATTCCAGGTACCTGGAGGGAGTTTTCCTTTCAGTTTCCTGGAATTCCAAGTAATCACACTGTCACCATCCTCCGTGGGGGACGCAGGAAAGTCTACACACTCTGACCTCTCGGCAAACGCGTGGAATCTGAAACATGAAGTTCAACATGAGTTCAACGTGAGGCTGGTGCAGAGGAATCTGCACAACACTGCTAATTCTCCCGGGACTGCGAATTGGCTCTTCTGTGGGACCAAGCATTTTTTAAAAATGTTTAACCAACACATAATAATCCTAAGTATTTATGGAGCTCAGTGTGACATTTTAACACATGTGTATGGTGTGTAATAATCAGATCAGGGTAACTGGCATTAGCATCACCCCAAACAGTCATCATCTCTTTGTGTTAGGAACATTCAAAATCCTCTCTACTAGTTATTTGAAATATATAATCGCTGTCGAGCACAGTTGTCCTACTGTGCTGCAGAATATTCTTCCTCCTATTCAGCTTCTCCCCCGTACCCAGGCACTGAGGACCACTATTGCACTCATCCTCTGCTTCCATGAGATCAACATCTTTGGCTTCCACCTTTGAGTGAGATCATGCAGTGCTTGTATTTCTGTGCTTAACTCATTTCACATAACACAGTGTCCTCCAGTTCCTTCCATGTCTCTGCAATGACAGGATTGGATCCTTTTTTATGGCTGACTAATACTCCACTGTGCATATATACCACATTCTCTTTGCCCATTCATCCATCGAAGGGCTTCCCGGTTGATCACTATCTTGGCACTTGTGAACAGTGCTATAACACACATGTAAGTGTTTACGGGCATCTTAATCTTAGTTGTGTCCACTGCTCTTCCCTGTGCCTTGTCATTTCCATAAGCGACAGAGAAGCAGAAGAATACAGAGAGTGACTTTGGATTTTAACTGATGACATGTCTTTTCACTAGCGGGTAATTAGCTCAACCAAGTGGCAGTTCTTGACCCTGTGCTTCTGCGCTCCTCTGATTTCTTTTTTTTTTTTTTTTTTTTTTTTTGACAGGCAGAGTGGATAGTGAGAGAGAGAGAGACAGAGAGAAATGCCTTCCTTTTTGCTGTTGGTTCACCCTCCAATGGCTGCCACGGCTGGCACTCTGTGGCCGGCGCACCACGCTGATCCGATGGCAGGAGCCAGGTGCTTCTCCTGGTCTCCCATGGGGTGCAGGGCCCAAGCACTTGGGCCATCCTCCACTGCACTCCCGGGCCACAGCAGAGAGCTGGCCTGGAAGGGGGGCAACCGGGACAGAATCCGGCGCCCCGACCGGGACTAGAACCCGGTGTGCCAGCGCCGCAGGCAAAGGATTAGCCTAGTGAGCCGCGGCGCTGGCCCTGATTTCTATTGTTCCTAGAATTCCATCATGTCAACACAGTGTTGAGAAGCCAGGAGTATAATGAGGGGCCCCAAAAGCTCCCATTAGCAGTACAGGCTCAGTGCTGAAAGCTGGTAAGGCCAGCGGCACTGGCTGACCTGCCTACTGCTGACGGGCTTCAGTCAACTTGAACTTCTCCAGGATTCAGGCTGAAGCACGAATGAAAAGAACCCCTGAGTGGGCAAGTTCTAGGGGCCTGCTGCTCATAGTGTGGCCCAAGGAGCAGCCACAGCAGCAGCATGGCCTGTGAGCTGCTTACAGATACACGTTTCCAGGCCCCCAGCTGAACCTGCTGAGTCAGACTATGCACTTTAACAGGATGCCCTGTACACTCGTGTGTGCACTTGTGTGTACAAGCGCCAGCGTAGCGCACAGCGTGATGGGCGAAGCTGCAGCCTCGAAGCCATGTCACTAGAATCCAGAAAGCAAATAACAGCATGGCACTTCCTTCAGATTGTCTTGAGAGTGCAGAGGAATTCCTCTTCTGCCTGTTGCCCATCACTAACTCAGAAAATCTTGCAACCCAGCTTGGGATGAACAGAAGGGCAAACAAATGGCAACAGAGGCCTAGGAGGCTCATGAGAGCCACAGAAAGCCCAGCCTTACTTCTGAAAGGTTTCAGGTAAGACTGGGAGAAGAACTTCACGGCAACGAACTAGACAGCCTGTGGGCAGTGGACTCTGAGCCTGGCCACGCCCGCCTCCTATAGGAGCTTCATCGAGGGCAGAAACAGCCAGCTCCTCCCTCCCTCCCATGGCCTCCTTGCCCTGCAATGAGGGCCAATGCGTGAGGTTTGTCCTGGGAGGCCCCACAACAAGAGTGCAAAGGCTCCTGGTGCTTTCCACTCTATGATCTGTTCTCCAGATTAGAAAACAGAACCGGCTGGAAGTTTCCTCTGGCTAATGCAGCTTCCCTGGTGCTGAGGCAAATGACCAGTGGGACAGGCTCTCTGGAGTCTGTGGAGTGCAGCACTGTCCTAGATGGGTGGTTTCACCAGACACAGCCTCAGGCACACAGGAGCCAGAGTCCAGCTTGAAGGCCACTAGGCTGAGGCAGCCTCCCACGAGCTGAGCTTCCCAGGACACACCACTTCCAGATTGACAATAACTATTTTCAGCTAGGGCCCAAAGTCCAGAGTACACCAGGAGAGCACCCAGGAGCCTTGGAGCTCCTGGGCAGGGAGGGGAGCAGGTGGGACCACCTCTGGCTGTGGGCTGGGCTTGCTTGCAAGGCCCACAGCATGCACAGGAGGGCATGCCTACACCTCCTCCCTTTCTGCAAAACTCACCCCCAGGCAGCGCACAATCTCAGTCAGTAGCAGAACTGCAGCTTCTCTTGCACGTCATTACTCCTGTGCCCCAGCAAGAGCTGAGCAGAGGACCAGCAAGAGAAGTGGCCCTACCCGTTGTGCCTTTTTCTCTCTCCACAGGCAAAGGGGGTGGGGGGCAGGGAACCCCCTTGTGTCTTCTGTGGGGCTCAGGAACCCAGAATTGAAGCCAAGTACCTGACAGGGAAAAAAAATCTCAGAGCTCTCAGAGTGGCCAGAGCAGTGGCCCTCAGGATCCCCAGAGGTTAAAAATGAAGATTCCTGGACCACCTCAGACCTTGGGCTTATGGCCATGGACGTTGCATTGCTAGGAAGCTCCCCGGGCAGTTACGCACACTGGCTGACTAAAATGCCTATTCCGGAGCTTCCCCCTATTAGGTGGAATCACCCTCCAAGATGAAGCCCAGGCCTCCGTCTCAAGAACAGGTTCCTCGGGGCCCTACAGTGAGCGAGCGCCTACACTGGAGAACAAGTGCCCTGGGCAGACCCTGTCCCTGTTTCCAACAGACTAACTTGGGAGAGGACTTGGCAGTTCTCCATATAACCACAGAAGGAGCTGGCCTCTCTCCCCTAGAGACCCATGTGTTCACACATATACAAGCCAAGGGAGCAATTTATGCTTGAAAATGCAGCCTTGGGCCGAAGCCGTGGTTAATCCTCTGCCTGCAGCACCAGCATCCCATATGGGCACCGGTTCTAGTCCCAGCTGCTCCTCTTCCAGTCTAGCTCTCTTTTTTTTTTTTTTTTTTTTTTTTTTGACAGGCAGAGTGGACAGTGAGAGAGAGAGACAGAGAGAAAGGTCTTCCTTTGCCGTTGGTTCACCCTCCAATGGCCGCCGCGGCCAGCGTGCTGCGGCCGGCACACCACGCTGATCCGATGGCAGGAGCCAGGTGCTTCTCCTGGTCTCCCATGGGGTGCAGGGCCCAAGCACCTGGGCCATCCTCCACTGCACTCCCTGGCCACATCAGAGGGCTGGCCTGGAAGAGGGGCAACCGGGACAGAATCCGGCGCCCCGACCGGGACTAGAACCCGGTGTGCCGGCGCCGCTAGGCGGAGGATTAGCCTAGTGAGCCGCGGCGCCGGCCCCAGTCTAGCTCTCTGCTGTGGCCCAGGAGGGCAGTGGAGGATGGCCCAAGTGCTTGGTCTCCTGCACCCACGTGGGAGACCAGGGGGAAGCTCCTGGCTCCTGGCTTCGGAACGGCACAGCGCCAGCCATAGCGGCTATTTGGGGAGTGAACCAATGGAAGGAAGACCTTTCTCTCTGTCTCTCTCTCTCTCTCTCACTGTCTAACTCTACCTGTCAAATAAATAAATAAATAAAAAAGAAAATGCAGCCTTTATTATTATTCAGCTATGGCGAAGCCAACGCATCAGGGGACTTTGCCATTGAAGAGAGAGTTTATTACTTACCGTTGCTATGGACTGAATTGCGTCTCCCACTTAAAATTCCTGTTGGGGCCTGATTCCCAATGTGACTATATTTGGGGAGAGGGCCTAAAGGGAAGTAGCAGTGAAGGTTAAATGAGGCCACAATGGGGGCAGGGGGCACTCTGATCCACAGAATTAGTAACTTTACATGAAGAGAATGAGACACCAAAGAGCTCACGCGCGCTCCCTCTCTCTCTCTCCACACCACGTGAGGACACAGTGAGAAAGCAGCTGTTTAGAAGCCACAGAGATGGCCTTCACCAGAAACCCAACTGGCCTTGATCTTGGACTTCCAAGACTCCACCAGTGTGAGAAATTAATTTCCCGTTGCTTGTGCCCCACCTCCAGCCTGTGGCATTTTGTTAGGGCAGCCCAAGCAGATTAACAGGTTTCAAGAGCAGGATCAGGCTGTACCACAGGGGGCCACACAGGCAAACACCAGGGCAGTGGTCTTGTGGTCAGGAGGTAGAGGATGGAAGTGAGACACAGCCCTTATGGTGATTTCAACTGGAAGGAACAGGTGAGGCAGAAAACACAGGGTTAGGATTGGCTGATCTGAATAGTCTCAGTGGGCCTTGGGGTGCAGGATTGTCTAGAATTGTTTGATTAGAGCGGAGGATAGTGGCTGAGAGTGTGGCAGCCTGTACTGAAGGAGCAGGCTCTGGGATTGGCTGGTTTGCACATGGGAGTCGTACCCTATGCAGGACCTTTGCTATCTCTAGGACCTGGCTAGCTCTGGGAATAGCAGTTCCTCTCGGGTCAGACCCTCAAAATGGCAAAGCCTCAGAATTACTGAAAATAAACAGGCATGACTGACACAAGACAGAGAAGAAAAGATGCCCAGAGAAGAAAGGCTGTATTGGAAAGAAGGGAAGAACAAGGCAGCAAATGGGTTAAGAAGAACCCAAAGAATCTAAGACCCACTGTTGATCCTGTATAAGCAGCGACCCCTTGCTGTCACTCAAGACCATGTTTCCTGCCTACCTGCTGTGGGTCTTGGCACTCAGATCCTTTAGGAAAGCCATAGTGCCTTCTCCTCTGGCATTGAAGGACACTGTGTAGACTGGACACGGAATCTCCAAAGCTCTTTGCAGGAGAAGCTCCTTGGGTTTCTCAGGAACATCCCCCACCACAAAGTAGTAAATGGATTCGATCTGCAAAACAGTGGCACCAACAGATCACCTCCCTGACACTCCCCAGGTTTCCCGAGGTTTGTCCTGGACTCGCTGACAACAGACTTTCTCTGAAGTTACCTCTTGATTTTTCAAAGGTGGGCAGAAATAATGGCAACATGGCTTGATGCTGTGTGACAAAACTGGGAGGCAGAGCCAGGAAATGAGATATTCAAAGCCTTGTTCCAAGAAGGTTCCTTGGGAGTGGCTCTAATCTTAGGGACTGCATGAGAAGAACGTGGCTGGGAGATTTGGAAAATAGCTCCCTCTGGGCTCACAAATCCATTATACGGGTTAGACGTGTTTATTTTCAAGTCAAGAAACAAAGGAAGGGGCCAGCAGGTAAAGCCACCACCTGCAGTGATGGAGTCCCTTATGGGTGCCGGTTCGAGTTCCAGCTGCTCCACTTCCGATCCAGCTCCCTGCTATGGCCTGGGAAAGCAGTGGAAGATGGCCCAACTCCTTGGGCCCCTGTACCTATGTGAGAGGCCAAAAAGAATCTCCTGGCTCCTAGCTTCAGATCGGTGCAGACCCAGCTATTGTGGCTATCTGAGGAGTGAACCAGCGGATGGAAGACCTCTCTCTCTCTCTCTGCCTCCGCTTCTCTGTAACTCTGCCTTTCAAATAAATAAATACATATTTTTAAAAAAACAAACAAATAAATAAATATATCTTAAAAACAAAAAAAGAAACAAAGCAAGTACTGGCCCAGCTAGTGCAAGCAGGAAGTGATGAGCCACTTCCAGTGGCAGTGCCAGCACTCTACAATGCAAACTCATCCATCCCGGAAAGGAGGGCTTATTCCCAGTTGGTTTACTGTCTGTGGTCTCATCTCACAAAGAAACTGGCTGTTGGGGACCGGTGCTGTGGCGGAGTAGCCTAAGCCTCCCATATGGGTGCCAGCATCCCATATGGGTGCCAGTTCGTGTCCCAGCTGCTCCTCTTCTGATCCAGCTCTCTGCTATGGCCTGGGAAAGCAGTGGAAGATGGCCCAACTCTTTGGGCCCCTGTACCTATGTGAGAGACCCAAAAGAAGCACCTGACTCCTGGCTTCAGATCAGTCCAGCTCTGGCCATTGTGGCCATTTGGGGAGTGAACCAGCAGATGGAAGACCTCTCTCCCTGTCTCTCCTTCTCTCTGTCTATAACTCTGCTTCTCAAATAAATAAATAAAATCTTAAAAAAGAAAGAACAGGCTATCTTAACTGTAGACAATTAGCCAGGAACCAGGTATACCACTGGACCTTGCCTGTCACCACACCAGGCCAAGAGAAGAATGAGAGAATGAGCAACCCCTAAACTTTTTACTGGAAGCCATGTCCCACCCCATCTTAAACCAATGACTGTGGGAAATGCATACCACACCCAGGTAGGAGACAATTCAAAGGAATGCTCACTTCTTTATTTAGAGTGATATAAACCCATCTAAAGGGTCCCTGTGACAACACCCTCCATCCCCCATTGCTTTTGTTCTTCTCAAGGATTTCCTTCCACCGTGGGTTTTTTTTTTTGTTTTGTTTTGTTTTGTTTTGTTTTGGACAGGCAAAGTTAGACAGTGAGAGAGAAAGAGAGAAAGGTCTTCCTTCCATTGGTTCACTCCCCAAATAGCCGCTATGGCCAGCGCACTGCACCGATCTGAAGCCAGGAGCCAGGTGCTTCCTCCTGGTCTCCCATGCAGGTGCAGGGCCCAAGCACTTGGGCCATCCTCCACTGCCTTCCCAGGTCACAGCAGAGAGCTGGACTGGAAAAGGAGCAACCGGGACAGAACCAGCGCCCCAACCAGGACTAGAACCCGGAGTACTGGTGCCACAGGCAGAGGATTAGCCTCGTGAGCCTTGGCACCGGCCTATTCCACCGTGTTTTATTCTTCTGCCACTAATGCGATCTGTCAGCTGGACCCGTGATCTAACTGCACTTTCTTCACTTGTGAAAAGGGAGATAATATGCTTTATTCTTCATGACTGAGTTTTAACAAAATGACTTATGCTAACATGTATGTGAATTTATAGAAATCTCAGAAAGTAAACAGCAGGAGAACTGGGAATACACATGAGGAGTCTCAACAGAGTTCATGGAAAATGCATATTATGAAAAATCTATGCATAGATTTCAAAAAATTGTTATGCAAAAGTAAATTCCTTTTAATTCCATTTTCTATTAATTTGTTGAAGTCCTCATGAATTTGCAGTCCCAAAAATGTTCTAATTGATTGTTTCCACAGATAACTGGGGAAGAAACACCAGTAAGTGCATTGTGTTTGGAGGGACAGATGTCACTAGCCCTTTCGGATTCACGAACTTCACCTTGCTTTCATCCCAAATCCCCAAGAGCTAGAGTCAATAAATGGTCTCACCTCAACTTCAAACCTACAACTTAAACTCACCTGGCAGAGACAGCGGTGGACCCCACCTGGCTCCCAGTTGGTCAGGAGGCTCTGTCTGCAACAGACAGGACAGACTGCACCCAAGGAGGCAGGTATGGGCAGCGATGGCCCAGGGCCCAGGCTAGGAGTTAGGAGAAGGCCAGAGTGGGAGTGGAGCCCAGGCTACATCAGCGTCCCTCCTCTATCTAGGCACAGAAAAGCCCTTGCCCCAGCACGCACACACACACACACACACACACACACACACACCTCTGCCTCTTTCTTTCAACTTCAGCTTCCTGGTTTTAAAAATCACCTTCTTAGGAGGTCATGACTGAAGAATGCAGTCAATGGGAGGCAGAAGAAAAGAAAACAGAAAGAAGGAAGAAACAGTGTCCTGGAGACACCATTCTAGGCAGCTGCTAAGTCCCTCCAGCACAGGCATCGCCTCTTCTTCTTTTCCCGCTGTGTGACACTACCTTGAGTACTAAAGAGGCTTCCACTGAGCCACACTGCTGCTCATTAGAGTTTCCTAGCTGTGTCAGTGCCCAAGTGTAGCATGGGAACAGGTGCATCCCATCATAAGGATCAAAAATGACACATGGCCCAAGACAGGGGACAGACACGGGTTGTCTTCTGGGAGAGGCAAGAACAGGCCAGGGGTATTCGACAAGTTCATGGGAGATGCATTTTATGAAAAAACTACACAAGGATTTCAAAACTGTTTATAACCAAAATGAATGCATCTTTTCCCATGAGCTTTTTGGAGTCCTCTCCTCTATCTCTAGGCGGGCTTTCAGCGCTTCTGACACCACTGCTTCTCTGCCGCACTTCAGGCTTCTTTGCTCTGGCAGTGACCCAAGAATCTGACTCCTTGTGCAGAAATTATTTTCCCTTGAGATTATATCAAACCGAAAACTGCTGCAGTCAAGCGTGAGTCAGGATTTCCTTTCCTTTCCTAAGGCTTTGACATTATTCACTATTCATTAAATTCATGACTCATCTTCTTAAGTGCTATGCGTGCAGGCAGCTCTCAGTTATCCATACTACACACTTTGCACTGAGACCACCAACTGCGCTCGCACTTGCTGGCACACTGCGTTTCTGCTCACATGATGACATTCAGAAAAATAGGAAGATAAATATGTAAACTCTTTTTTAAAAAAGATTTGCAGGGGGCCGGCACTGTGGTGCAGTGGGTTAACGCCCTGGTCTGAAGCACCAGCATCCCATATGGGCACCGGTTTGAGACCTGGCTGCTCCACGTCCTATCCAGCTCTCTCTGCTGTGAACTGGGAAAGCAGTAGAAGATGGCCCAAGTGCTTGGGCCCCTGCACCTGCATGGGAGACCTAGAAGAAGCTCCTGGATCCTGGCTTTAGAATGGCACATCTGGGGAGTGAACCAATGGAAAGAAGACCTTTCTCTGTCTCTCCCTCTCACTATCTGTAACTCTACCTCTCAAATAAATAAATAAAATCTTTAAAAATTTTGCTTATTTATTTTAAAGTCAAAGTTACAGAGAAAGACAGAGACAGAGAGACAGTGGGGAGGAGGGTAGATATCTTCCGTCCTCTGAGTCACTCCCCAAATGACCACAATGGCCAAAGCTGGGCCAGGCCAAAGCCAGGAGCCAGGAGCTTCATTTGGGTCTCCCACTTGGATGTCAGGGGCCAAAACACTTGGGCCATCCTCCGCGGCTTTTCCCAGGCAATTAGCAGGGAGCTGGATTGGAAATGGACCCAAACCAGTGCCCATACAGGATGCCAGTGTTACAAGCAACGGCACAAGCAATGGCACAACACCAGCCCCACAAAATGCTTCTTAAAGCAAAATGGTTTTATAGTTATCTACTACAAGATGATAAGCTATGATAAATTATTTCATTTAATATTTATAATAGTCTTATGGAGTACGAATTATTGTTATTACACCCAGTTTACAGAATAAGAAACTGAGGCTTAGGAAGGTTGGTTGACTTGGTCTTGGAGATAGTAAACCCTAGCCACCAAACACCATGAGCTCTGCCTTGTTCTCAACCACTACGCTGTGCCAGCTCACTACAAGGCTGGTCACCTGTTAGAGACGGACATGAATCCCAGAACGGTGAAAGCAAGATCGTGGGACCAGAACAGGCATTTGGCATAGCAGTTAAAGTACCACTTGGGACACCTGCCTCCCACAGAGGAGCACCCGGGTTCAAGTTCCCGTTCTCGGGACTCCAGCCTGCTGTTAATACCCACCCCAGGAGGCAGCAGGTGACGGCTCAAGTAGTTGGCTCCCTGCCACCCATGTGGCAAATCCAGATTGAGCTGCTGGCTCACAGCTTCAGCCTGTCCCAGTTCTGGCTACTACAGGCATTTGGGGATGAACCAGCGGACAGATCTCCTTCTGCCTTTCAAATAAAGACAATATAAAAAACAAGTGTTTACAAAGATCATGCGACAAAGAAGGTGACCATAGGCAGGCACTGTTTTCACTTTGGAGACTCTCCCACTGTCCAGAGGTTTAGGCTCCTATTCCTGATCAACAGCAAGAACCAGAAGTTGGGTCCTGGAGACTGTGCAGCTTAGGGGAGTTTTCCTCGTGGGAGTCCCCTCCTAACCAGTACCTGTCAGCTTCCTGAGGGCAAGGGCTAGTCTTGAGGCTCAGTAGCAGCATCCGGGCCAGGAGCAGCTTCATCACTGACCAGCGTCTCCCTAAATGCTGATGTGCACTAAACGCAGTAAAAATGCATGGGCTCCACTCAGCTTCCTTACAGTGAGGCAGGAACTCTTGTGCTTCACACTATAAAAAATAGTGTCAAGCCTCTAGGTTTTCATTTGAAACGTCTTACTGTGTCCGGACCATTACTTCCGCAGTTTCACACTGTAACCTGCATTCTGCCCAGCCGAGGACTTCTTGACCTTTGTCGTCGGGGTTGGGGGAGAAACACATGAGAAGTGGCTGCTTCTACCCTGGCTGCCCTCTGCACCAGCCTGTTACAAATCTGCTCTCTCACCCCTGGGCCTTCAGCTTAGAAAAATCTCAAATTTTCAAGGAAGCAAAAATGAAAGTCAGCCAGAAAAGTAGCGACAGTTCTACCTAAATTCTGTCTTGTTCTTCATACAGCTTTGGGCATTACAATATTTTTGGCCAACACCAGGCCTTGGGCTCTACCCTCCAGACACTTCCTGCATCTGTGACAGCCCTTTCCTGGTATGGGCCATTTTGATTTCCTGATTTCCTTCATGGTGGTGACCATTCCCTGTAAGTATTCAGCCAGCTCACTTCTCAGATCCCTCCTAACACCCTTGACCATTGCCAACTTTCTGACCTCTCAGGCTTCACGGTCCCTGTCCCCATGCCCTACCGGAGTTCCACAAGGCTCAAAAAATTCACCTGCCTGGTCCCACACTGACCACCTGCCTTCAGTGATCAAAATGCAAATCTGGGGGGCCAGCGCTGTGATACAGCAGAAAAAGCCACCACCTGCAGGGTCAGCATCCCATATGGGCACCAGTTCAAGTCCTGGCTGCTCCTCTTCTGATCCAGCTCTCAGCTATGGCCTGGGGAAGCAGTGGAAGATGGACCAAGCTCTTGGGCCCCTGCACCCACGTGGGAGACCCGGAAGAAGCTCCAGGCTCCTGGGTTCGGATTGGCTCAGCTCTGGCCATTGTGGCTATTTGGGGAGTGAACCAGCAGATGGAAGAACCCCCCCCCCTTCCTCTCTGTAACTGCGCCTTTCAAATAAATTTTAAAAATCTTTGAAAAGAATAATGTTATTTAAAACACACACACACACACACACACACACACAAATCTGTGCCACAGTTTGGGGATGGAAATCCCTGAGACCCACATCCAGCTCCCACACTCAGGAATATCAACATTATTTCCATCCCTTCAATGGCTAACACATAGTTATAGAGCTCGTATTCAGCATTAGGAGCACAAGAATGAAGAGTCGATGCCTGCTTGAATCAGTACAGGGAAATCACTGTAATGCTAAGTTCATGGAGTGATATGGCCAGGCTTTCAGCCTACAGTCCAGCACCAAGGTTCCTTATAGAATCAAATGCGTCTGGATCTAATTCACCCACTCAGTCTCCCAGTGAGTAAGATCTGAAAACCCCCAAAACTAAACTGACTTGTGCCTGTCAGGTGAATGGAAGGGAGTCCGAGACAAAAACAGATCAACAAAGCTGTCTTCTAGGCAGAAGGCCTTTTCCTGAAAGCAGAGGCAAAGTCCCTGTTAGCTTTCTCAGGCAGCTTAGAAGCAGAGCTCCGGATACACAGCCTCTCTCTCCTACAGACCTCTTAGATCCTGTGTCAGTCAGCAGGCTTTCCAGGCTTCCCGGCAGCCCACCTTCCCTCGTAAAGGCCGGGGAAGCTACTAACTCCAGAAAGATGTACATCCTAGGCCCAGGGGATGCTGCAGTGCAGAGACCACTTGTTGGTCAACACACCTAGGCTCTGAGGATGCCAGCCCCTGCAGCGGCCCAACGTCTCCTCGTGCCGCCCTTCTCATGAGCCAGGTCCTGACCTGCAGCCCATGACAGTAATGCATGCAGTTATGTGGATTAATTTAAGACTAATTGATGTAGACATAAGAGGCACAGAGCCGTGGCTTTTTATGGGAACTCACTCCCCTTTCCAACCCCTCCTCCCCAACACATGCTTTTTTTTTTTTTCCTTGTAAATCACAGAGCGTGGCATTTTTAATATATGAGGCAATTGCATGTATCAGAATTTTCCTCAGAACCGCCCCCAGTTAGAAACTCTAGGTGGAGGGACAAAGAGGTCATACATTGCTTTGTGTTTCCTGTATGCCACACTCTTCTCCAGAGCACTTTCAATTTTCATTTGATGCTAAGTGCCTGTGAACTTCCTTCTGGGTTCTTCCTCTTCTGTAGGACTACTCCGGAACTCACTGAAGTGTCCCTTATTTCCTAGACTAGGGACATAGAGAAAGGAGAGGCACAAACTGGAGGGAAGTGAAAGAGAAAGGCAGGGTCACCATCAGGTGGCCAGACACAGCTATGACCACAACAGCCAGGTTCACAGACAAAGAAGAGGGCGTTCATGTACACACACACACACACACACCACATTCAAGGGCCTGGATAATGTCTTTGGTTCTTTGTTAATGGAAAACATTTGTTCCTCTGGTTTTGGGGGGTAAAAAATGTGCTCCCATGTTGAAGCCATCACACTCAGCGATGATAAACACAGGCTGGTGACCAAGGGTCTATTCTTTCAAAGGCCAATACACAGTCTCTCTGCCCAAGAGAGGATCTCTGCGCATACCCAGGCCAGGCTTGAAACCTACAGAAACCCCAGGCCTCTACACTGGAAGAAGCAAGAAAATACTGACTACCTGTGTCCAAAGGCAAGCAGACCTCCGAAGGCCCAGGGAGTGGAGGCTGGCCCAGGATCCGACCTTGTCCATCATCTGGCCACTACCCTGTGTAGTCCATCACTAGAGTCACAGAAACACGCTCCCTTACGGCTGAAAGGGACGTAAGACTTCAGCATTTAATTGCTTCTTCCAGGTAAACGTTTATTTCCTAAAGGTCCTTAGCACGATGCGTTAGTCAATGTATTAACATCTGAAGACGGATGGGCTCATCAGCACGCTCACCTTAGAAAGCACGCGCTCAGTCTCTCTGAGAGCAAAAGGAACTGGGGAAGATTCAGAATGTGGGTGCTGTGGAAACCTAATTCCCTTGACCTCGGAGCTCTGCGAGGAGTCTTCCAATCCCTGCCCCCTCCCCCTGGGAGATGCACAGCTCTATCTAACCGGCAGGCAGCAAGAGGGGAACAGGTGTGCTGAAGACACACAATGATGGCCTCACTCCCAGTGTTTTCGTGAAGCCCATGGGTATGAGCAGCACTTGGCTCTTCTGGCGCTCGACGGTGAGGGTTCACAGAGGGTGTCTTAGCCACACTCAGGGGACAGGTATTTGGGAGTCTCATTTTGGTTGGCCCAGCTCTGCCACCACAAAGTTGCTATGGGACCTATAACCTATTTTTCAATTGGTTCCAGATTCAGAGTGAGTAGGATTATGACTCATGGGGTTTTCAGTGCCAAAGATGAGGCCTCTGTGGGCAGTCAGCTGGGAGGGGAACATCTGAAAGGCAGGGTAAAGATACTAAATATGAAAAGCCATGCTTGGGAGCCAGTGCTGTGGCGCAGTAGGCTAAACCTCCACCCACAGTGCCAACATCCCACATGGGCACTGGTTCGTGTCCCAGCTGCTCCTCTTCTGATCCAGCTCTCTGCTAGGGCCTGGGAAAGCAGTAGAAGATGGCCCAAGTGCTTGGGCCCCTGCACCCACATGGGAGACCCAGAAGAGGCTCCTAGCTCCTGGCTTTGGATCAGCCCAGCTCCGGCTGTTGCGGCTATCTGGGGAGTGAACCAGCGGATGGAAGACCTTTCTCTGTCTGTCTGTCTGTCTGTCTCTCTCTCTCTCTCAAATAAGTAAATAAAATCTTTAAAAAAAAAAAAAAAAAAAGTCGAGCTGGAGCGCGGGAGCACCAGCCATGTGTACACTCACAGTTCTGTCTGCCCCAGCTGCCAGCAGAGCGTCCAGACGGCTAACCTCACTCTCAGTCTGCTCAAAAGTCAGTTTCTTAACCCAGCTGACGGCAGCAGCTATGGCTTCTTCAGTCACAGGAGTGGCAGTTTCCTGCCATTTCACAGGCTCTTGAGAAACCCTGAAAGGAATCACATGGAGTGGTCAGTGGGCAGTGATCAAGGCCCCCAGGGGAATGTCAGCCCTCTGCGTCACAGCCATGGGCGACAAGACCCCTAACGTCGTCAGGGCCAGGAGAGCTCTCAGTCCTTGAGAGGTACTGGCCAAACAGGCCAGCTGTTAGGATGGTCTCCCAAAACACCCTTCTGATCTGTAAGCCACACTGACTGGGAGAAACCACACCTGCGTGGCAACACAAACCTCAAAAACGCAAACATTAACAAGTGCTTTAAAGTTACTGACAGGAGTCATTTTCATAAACAGGCAGGTTTACAAGAAACTGTCTTCCGTAGGTAGCAAATTGACAGTATTAAGATTTGCAAATTGGCAGCAATTCTATTACTCTCACATGTTATTTCTGATTCTTCCATGATATTATTTTCATTGCTGTAAGAGATTCCTCTTCAGGTACCTTCTTGGGATCAAAAATGGTATTCTTTTGAGCTCAGCAAAGCATTATTTTTTAAATCCTGAGAAAAGTTGGTTAAACCATTTAATTTGGCCTTGGAAATGACTGAAGGAAACCCACAAGGACAAAAAAAGAAGGGCCCCCTGGATTTATTTCTGCTTATGACCACGAATCAGTTGGCCTGGTAGTCCTCGCATGGCCTACCTCACAGGCAGAGCTGGCTCCTACTTGTGTCCCCGCTGTGTGGCTTCTCTGGGCAGAGACTGGCTGAGCATTATATACATGACAGCAATCACCTCCAAGAAAGCAAAAGCTCTGCAGACTTTGGTACTTTCTTCCTTCAATAATATACCAGTGACAGAAATAGACATCTGGGGGCCGGCGCTGCTGCACAGCGGGTAAATCCATTGCCTGCAGTGCCAGCATCCCATATGGGTGCCAGTTCGAGTCCCGGCTGCTCCACTTCTGATCCAGCTCCCTTCTAATGCACCTGGGAAAGCAGCAGGAGATGGTCCAAGTCCTTGGACCCCTGGGCCCATATGGGAGACCTGGAAGAAGCTCCTGGCTCCTGGCTTTGGAACGGCGCAGTGCCGGCCGTAGCGGCCATTTGGGGGGTGAACCAACTGAAGGAAGACCTTTCTCTCTGTCTCTCTCTCTCTCTCTCACTGTATAACTCTGCCTGTCAAAAATTTTAAAAAGCACTTTATTTAAAAAAATTTAAAAATCTAGGGGTCTCTTTTGGAGCCCTACTCCTGGCTGCTGCAGCAGGAAGTTTCTGCCTTAAGCAAATCTTACTTTGTTCTCTCTCTCTCTCTGTCTCTCTCTCTCTCTCTCTCACACACACACACACACGCACACGCACAAACACACATCCAATTAGGTGGATGCTCTCCGGCTTCATCCAGATGCTTCTTGTCAGGGAGGTGCAATCACTGTTATGGATGGGAAGGCAGCAGTGAGGTCCAAATTTTCTTGAATCCAGGAATCCATAAATAATTGACTGTGAAAATTCTGAAATGTGGGAAATTCTGTGAAGCCAGGCACCTGTTGTTCTGATTAAAAGGGTCAACTTACAAAGGGGATGAACTGAAGTCACAAATTCAAAGTAGAAAAGCAGAGGAATTTGTGATCTTTGACTTCACCACCCACACCGAAACCTAAAACGAGTGGAGAGATTTAGGGCCTTAAATATTTATCTCATATAATTCGCATTCTTGTATTTTGTTCTTCCCAGGAATTGAAGAAAAGTGTGTTTCTAAATCTCTCGCAATGCGAAAATTAAGATACCTTGCAAGGCAAAAAAAAGTTTCCTAAGATTTACTCAGCGCGGGTTTTCTGCTGAGATTGTATAGTCTAGGAGATTACAAAATCACACCTCCTTCCCTCCCCATGGAGCTACCTTAGCTATGCCACTTAATTCCAAATATGTGCAAATTAACTGAAAAGACCCCCTTCCCGCTGGAACTCACCCTATGATGTTGAACTTGGTTATGTGAGCCACCTGCTCCTGCAGGACCATTGCGAGAGCTTCTTGGCACAGAGTGAGCTCGCCTTCCAGAAGGCCACCACAATCCAGCACTAAGGTGACGCACCGCTCTAAGATGACGCCAAAAATCTGCCGGCTTCCGCTGGTGAGCCACTTCATCCGCTGCTTGTAGCGCTCCACAGCTTGTGTTAAATATTCCACCAACTGATAGATCAGGTCTGACTTAGCGGTCAGCTTTATGAAAATAAAAGGCACAAACAAAAATGATACAAGTGCCAGTAAGTCTGAACCACAGTGCTGTTGTCTAGAAAGGTGCATTCATAGCAGTACTGGGAGGGATCCGCCAAACCCCACGGGATCCAGGAGGAAGTCCTCCAAACTTCCCACTGGAAAACCTGGAGTGGTTCCCCAAAGAAGAAAAGATCAAAATACAGCACTCAGGGGAAAAAAAAAAAAAAGTGTTTCCAGGTTGTGTTTTATGGGAGATATTCAAAAAGTTCATGGGAAATATGTGTTACAAAAATGCTTTGAAAGGATTTCAAGATTTTTTGCACCAAGATGAATTCACCTCTTAATTCCGTTTCTCTGCAAACTTTCTGAAGCACCCTCATAGCTTTGTAGTTACAGATTTTCTTCATCATGAAATGCCCAGGGGCACTTTTAAGAAGCCAGGTAGAAGAAAAGAAACAACAACAAAGGCAGATGGGGGAAAAAAAAAAGCCTCACTTTTCCTACATAAAACATGTCAAAAATTTTTCTGCAAAGGCTTCTAAGCTGGTGCTTGGCACATCTGCCTGGCTTCCTCTTGGGGACGACAGCTGCATCACTCATCTCCCTGTGCATCACCTTCGTCCTCTGTCCTCTGTCTTTCAGGCCAAGCACCCCTATACCTGGAGTGCCTGATCGCCTTTAGCTGCCATCAGTACTTCCAGGGGCTGCCCTGGACAGAGCTGGCAGAGCCTTACTGGCAATTTCTGTTATGTACAAATAAACCATAGATCAGGTTCACTCAGATCAGGCACAACTATACAAGGCCTTTCAAGGATATAGGTAAAACATATAGAAAAGGACTAAGAAAAAATGGTGCCTGGTGCCACAACACATAAAGGAAGATCTGGTACATAAAAAAAAATTTTAATGACACTAGGACACCCTCAAATGTACAAATCGTTAAGGAAACTGTGTCTTCTGAGTACACCACATATAGTTCCATGTTTTCGTACTTTGGCTCCTTAAACCCTTTCCTTTCCCCTCCCCAGGTCTCTGTCAAGCACCTGCCTCAAGTAAAAGTAAATAAAAATTTTAAAATGTGTATGTACTGAACGTATAAGGGCTTTTTATGCTTGTCTTTATGCCCTACACAATACAGTGTAACAACTATTTACATTATTAGGTGGTGTAAGCCTTACAGTATACATCAGTATACAGGAGGCTATGCAGAGTTTATGTGGAAGCACCACGCCATTTTATATAAGAGACTAGAGAATCTGGATTTTGGTATCTGAGGGGGTCCAATAAGGAATCCCCCATGAGCACCAAGGGCCGACTGTATCAGGAAACAGCAGCCCAGGTGGTACAGGGATGCCCGTGAACAAGTATCTATAAGTGGACGTGACAGAACAAGTGTCTGAGAGAGATTCTGAGCTCCATGTGGTGGAGCAGGGCCTGCGCAGGGCCTCACACACAGGGGCACAAGAACCACCTGGTGAATTGCTGGAAACAAACAACGCCAGTTCAAAGAACTGCTTGCTCTCTCTCCTCTTCTACCTGCGAAGATGGCCCCCACACCAGGAGCTGCTATCAGATAGCAGCAGCAGCTTGCCCCTGGATTTTAGCTAACACCTGTCATCTTGCTTTTTCCCTTACTTTCCAGTCCAAACAACGTGTTGATGTGCAAAGTCTTCATCTCTGGTTGAGGGCTTGTCTGCCTCAACCTCTGACAGGTCAAGGGTTTCCTTCTCCAGCTCAGTGGCCACGACTTTCATCACCCCACTGCCAAAACAAAACCTGTGGCCTGAGTTCTCTCAGCTCAGCTGTATCACTGCCAAGCAACATGAGCCCACTCCCTGATGCGACCTCGGCATCATGTCACAGGACCTGTTCAGCAAGGAATGGCGCCTTACGTTGTAGACTCTGCCGTCTTCTGCCCTGTAGAACTGTGGAAACAGGCCATCAGCGTACCGAGAAGCCACGAGTCTCCCCAGAGAAGACACATAATCTGTATTGTTATAAAAAAAGACATACAATTTGGTGAACTCTTTACTTAACACAGAGTTAATCGTATGTGCATAAAGTTAATTGAAAATAGATCTTAGTAAAAAATAAGAATAGGAATAGGGGAGGGAAGAAGTAGAGGGGTGGGAGGGCTGGTGGTGGGCAGAATCACTATATTCCTAAAGTTTTATTTATGAAAGGCATGAAGTTTATATTCCTTCAATAAAAGGTTCCTTTGGGATAAAGAAAGACAATCAAAACAGGGCATTATTAAAGCATCTTATTTTTATCCAAAAACATTTTTGCTGGCCCCATGCAAAGCATATTCCCAGTGACATAAACAATTGGCAATACTTTGTGTTCTGTTCTAAATCATGGAGCATAAAGTGTCTTCAAAAAGTTAGTGGATAATGTATGTTATGAAAAAAACACATAGATTTCCCAAAATTTTTGCACCAACATAATCATAGCTTTTAATTCGGTTTTCCCACAAACTTTCTGAAACGCCCTCCTATTTCTAAGCGAGGTGATAAATGCAAGTGCTTGTGGCTTGTGTAATTTTCTCATGCATGAAGTGAGAGGGGGAATAGCTCTGTTTCCTGGTTTCCTGGTTCTTTGACCCAGGATGATCATGGCAGAGGTCAACATTGTGTATAATTCCCCAAAACTTTCAAAACCTGGATTTAGTTTTCAGAATTTTAAAATTGAGCATCAGTACTATCTGCTGTTCTCTCAAGTGGAGCTTCCTGAATTAATGAGTAAAATGATGCCTGCAAGTAATCGATACAGAAGAGTCGCACAGAACACGCTAGAAGCACGAGGTTTCCTTCTCATCAGATCATAGGCTCAGCCGCTCAGACATTCACCACACAAATGCTTACTGAGCACCTACCACTAGCGAAGCACAGTGCTTGCTGCATGGGAGTACAACACGGCGTAAAACGCATTGCTACTCCTTCACGGACCACCAGCAGACTACAGACCGGCTTCACGGACTAACCAGCTTGGCAGGACGGAACTGAGAAAAGGCTTCACAGAGATGTTTCTATTATGTGATTACTTGGAGGATGCTTTTCAGAAGCCCAATTGATGCCTTTAGAGACAAAATAAGAGGAGTTTTCAGATCAAATTTTTTTTTAGATTTTTTTAAAATTTTTGTTTATTTGACAGGTAGAGTTACAGTGAGAGGGACAGACAGAGAGAAAGGTCTTCCTTCTGTTGGTTCACCCCCAAAATGTAGCTCCGCTATGGCCGGAGCTATGCCAATCTGAAGCCAGGAGCCAGGAGTCTCCTCCTGGTCTCCCATGGGGTGCAGGGCCCAAGCACTTGGGCCATCCTCCACTGCCTTCCCAGGCCACAGCAGAGAGCTGGACTGGAAGAGGAGCAACTGGGACAGGACCGGCGCCCCAACCAGGACTAGAACCCGGGGTGCCGGCGCCGCAGGTGGAGGATTAGCCTAGTGAGCCGCAGCCCTGGCCAAGATCAAAATTAGTTACCACTATTTGTCAGAGGGTCTGATGCAGCCACTCATGGCTCCCAAGAATTCCTAAACCAGGTCAATGGGGTCACATTGCCAATGCCTCACTGTAAAATGACTTGAGTCTAGTGAAATTTCATTAGGGTTAAGAATATTTCAGAGGGACTGGCAGTGTGTCGTAGTGGGTTAAACCTCTCCCCGCAGTGCTGGCATCCCATATGGGCGCTGGTTCGAGTCCCAGCTGCTCCACTTCTGATCCATCTCCTTGCTAATGTGCCTGGGAAAACAGTAAAAGATGGCCCAAATGCTTGGGCCCCTGTACCTGTGTGGGAGACCCGGAAGAAACTCCTGGCTCCTTGCTTCAGATCAGCTCAGCTCCGAGGCATTACAGCCATTTGGGGAGTGAACCAGCGGATGGAAGGCCTTTCTATCTGTCTTTCCCTCTCTCTGTCTATACCTCTATCTCTCAAATAAATAAATAAAATATTTTTTAAAAAAAAGTCTCAGAGATCCTTAATATTTTTATTTTTGTTTTCTGAAAATGGATTTTATCTTATAATTTCAGTTCATCTAAATCTTGTGTTCTGTACATGTGACTTTTATTTTTAAGGATTTATTTATTTATTTGAAAGTCAGAGTTACACAGAAAGAGGAGAGGTAGAGAGAGAGAGAGAGGTCTTCCATCCAATGGTTCACTCCCCAGTTGGCCGCAACTGCCGGAGCTGTGCCAATCCGAAGCCAGGAGCCGGGAGCCTCCTCCAGGTCTCCCACACAGGTGCAGGGGTCCAAGGACTTAGGCCATCTTCTACTGCTTTCCCAGGCCACAGCAGAGAGCTAGACCGGAAGTGGAGCAGCAGGGACTCAAACTGGTGCCCATATGGGATGCTGGCACTGCAGGCAGCTGTCTTACCCACTACACCACAGTGCCAGCCCCTGTACCTGTGACTTTGCACCACTTGATTGTTATGGAAGTTCAGTACTGCATGTCTCTCTCTACACTGGGGTGCACTTAATTTGTGAATTTTTTAGACTAAAAATGTAGAATAAAGACTATTTTGAAGGCCTGAATAAAGTGATAAAGTTGCATTACACCTCACTCCAAGAATTCTTCACTTAGCTTGTTTGCAAGATTTTTCTGTCTGAATCTTCTTTAAATTCCACCCAGCATTCAGCTAGGTGCTGCAGTTTGTTCGGTTTTCCTTAATAAAGTCTTTGAAATCAACGCAGGAGTACGAGGCTAAGATTTGGCCATTTTCATGAGTTCCACTTTCAATGTCCAATTTTACTTCCTGAATTCTTTGAGATCCTGGGATTCGGAAGCTAAACTTAGAAGTAAGAGAACAAATAGCTGATTCTTTTAAACTGCTTTGAAATTTGGTTTCAGGAAAATGTTTCTGTGTAGCACTTTGTATGTGTTCAGGGCCACCTTTCGTTTCTCCAAAGTTCTGTGTGGAGAAATAGGGAAACTCCAGAAGTCTAGGCTGCCAAGATGGATTCCTCTTGGGTCTCACCTTGGGTGGGCTTGAGTTGGGATTGGACAATGGAGGCAAAACACTGCATCTCAAAGGAGATCAGATCTAGCTTAACTTCAAAGTTGTCAGTGCCTGAGGGGCTAGTTATTTTAAACACACTCATTTTGAGACTTAAATCCAATCTATGTCAGATTCCCAGAACGCTGGAGGGAAAGGCGGGTGGGCAGATTGTTCCTGCTCCTCTTGTGTCTAAATAGAATGAGTTCTGGAGGTTCTGGCCCCTGGTGGATGGAAGCTACACCAGCTATCTACCAGGCTTGTTTTGGCTCCTCTGGGCCAAGCTTCCCTGGACCATTGTTGCCTCAAAGTCCTGAGATGGTTCTGGGAACTGCTGCTTGTTGCTTGAGAGAGAACACGGAAGAGTTAAGCCAAAGAAAATGATGTTGAAAAATTTAAGCAAGGATAAGTAAAATGCAAAAGTAGTTACTTCTTTTTTTTTAATTTATTTTATTTATTTGAAAGAATTACAGAGAAATGTAGAACCAGAAAGAGAGAGAGAGTTCTTCCATCTGCTGGTTCACTCCCTAAATGGCCACAAGCTGAACTGATCTGAAGCCAGGAGCCAGAAGCCTCCTCCGGGTCTCCCACAGGGGTGCAGGCTCTCAAGGACTTGGGCCATCTTCCACTGCTTTCCCAGGCCATAGCAGAGAGCTGGATAGAAAGTGGAGCAGCCAGGACTCGAACCAGCGCCCATATGGGATGTCGGCACTGCAGGTCAGGGCTTTAATCTGCTGTGCCACAGCACCGCCGCCCCCAGTAGTTACTTCTTGAACTGAGAGTCTGTTATTGAAAATTTTAATTGAAGCAAAAAGGGCCTTAAGTTTGAGGTTGTTGTGTGAGGAGTCAGATGGCTTAATAGGTAGTTAGGGTGGTCCCAATGAATTTGGGGTGTAAATATTTGCTTCCTTCCCCCCCCAAAAAATGGTTATCTTTAGCAAGAACAAACAGGCCACCCTCCTTCCTTCAGAATCTCCAAATTTACCATGTGAATAGCAAGGGAGCTCTTCCAGAGCTTACTGTGAAAACAAGTTACCTATCCCACCCTTCTGGATGGTCTTTTGTTTTATCTGAGCAGGCCAGGCAGAGTGGAGAACTGTAAATCAGGACCTTTGGGTTTTGTCCCTGCCGGGTAACTGAATGCCAATCTGATTGTTATTTTTTTTTTTTACTTCAAAATTGTACTTAAAAACCCGAATGCTACCTACTCTAGGGTCCTTTTGGGTTTCTTCCTCTCTTGGAAACCCCCCTCCATGCCACTCTGGCCAGAGCTCTTTGACTGTAATAAATTTTTTTAAACCTCTCTGTTGTCCGCTTGGAAATTCTTCTTCCACGTGAGCCAGAGAATCAAGGTAACAATATTTTCTCTGCCTCCGTTTTCATGTAACAATTGGGGAACGAGAAAAAGAAGGGCTCAGAGGAAGGGATGTCATTCATCAGGACTAAGATCCCCACTGTCTCCTCCACCCCTGACCAAGTTCTGTGGTCAATATTTCCTCTGGGGTTATCACTACGTGACCAGGGAGGACACAGAATGGAGCAGTCAATGACTCCAACTCTTTCTACTCTCATCAACCTGTGAGAAAAGTGAACATGGCCGAGCATATGCTCCAAGGCTCCCTGCTTCAGCCAGTCACGTGCACAGGCTCTATAATAAAGACATCCCAGGCAGCTCTCTCCACGTCCCTGGAAGCAGCCATGTTGGCACTTGCGCCTGTGTCCTGGAAGAGGTTTAAATTTTCCCACATCAATCTGCTTCTCACCGGGTTCACAGAAAATCTTCATCTAATCAACAGTCCACGTGTTAGCCCTGGAGACAGGAATAACCTGCTGGGCCTGGGGATCATTCCATGCAATACTCTTCCTTCTCTTGGTCCTTGGCTGAGTTACTCTCCCTCTGGAGCGTGGCACTGGGCTCCACTTCTGCAGGTTCCTAGGTGACATAGCTACCTTTGTTCTTTTTTTTTTTTTTTTTGACAGGCAGAGTGGACAGTGAGA